CCCATACATGAATTTCGTGCCCCGGGCCTCTCGTATTAAAATAAAGTCCTGCTTGCAATACTTATATACTGCTAGAAAGAAGTAAATATAAAAACTGTCTGGAGGGACACACCTTTAAAGGAGGCCAATCAGAATTTCTGTAATAAAGCCATGACAAATGTGACTTCATAATCCCAAATTGTAAAACACACATGAAAATAATCCACCTAAAGCAAACATCAGCAGAAACGTACAGTCAAATTAGACTTCCAAGAGCTTCAGATAAAAAACAAAAACAAAATAGATACAAACTATAAAATAAGTGTGTTTAAAATGAATAAAGAAAACTAAAAGCACTTAAAAACATGAAAAAGAATAAAGTGATGTATTTTAAAAGCTAGATTAAAAAATAACCAGAGTAGTTGTAGAAATTTAAAAATACAGTCATTAAAATTAAAAGGTAACAGATGGGTTAAACACAGCTGGAGAGAGAATTAGTAAACTATAATGTAGTGCCAAGAAAACTACCCCCATGTATGTAACACAGAACACACTGGTGGAAATTCAGAACACCAACATAAAAATAACATTCTAAAATCTTCCAGAGAAAACAAAATAAACCATAGAGATTACCTATAAAGAAACAATACAAAACAATCTCATTTACAGTTGCATCAAAAATCATAAAATACCTAAAAATAAATTTAACCAAAGAAGTGAAAGTCTTGTACTCTGAAAACTACAAGACATTGGAGAATTAAATTGAAGAAGATACAAATAAATGGAATGATACACCTTGCTCATAGATTAGAAGGATTAATATTGTTAAAATGTTTTTACTACCTAAAGCAATATACAGATTCAATGCAATCTTATTAAAACACCAATGACATTCTTTCCAGAATTAGAACATCTAATCCTAAAATTTATATGGAACCACAGAAGATCCTGAATAGCCAAAGAAATCTTGGGAAAGAACAAAATGGGAGGTAGCATGCTCCCTCACATAAAACTATACTGCAAAGTTACAATAACCAAAACAGTATGGTATTGGCATAAAAACAGATATGTAGATCAATGGAATATAATAAAGAGCCCAGAAATAAAACCTCACTTAATGGTCAATTAATCTACAACAAAGGAGTCTAGGATATACAAGTGGGTAAAGACTGTCTCTTCAATAAATGGTGTTGGGAAAAGTAGTCAGATACTTGCAAAAATATTTGGACTACTTTATTACATTATATACAAAAAATAAGCTCAAAATGGATTAAAGACCTGAAGCCATAAAACTCCTAGAAGAAAACATAGACAATATATTCTTTGACATCAACACACACACATATACACATACACACAGGAATATTATTCAGTAATATCTTTTTGGATATGTTTCCTTGGGCAAGGGAAACAAAAGAAAAGAATAAATGAGACTATATCAAATTAAAAAGTTTTGGCACAGCAAAGGAAACCATCAACAGAATGAAAAGACATCCTACTGAATGGGAAAAGGTGTTTACCAATGATACATCTGATAAGGGGTTAATATCCAAGATATATAAGGAACTCATACAACTGAACACACACAAAAAATAAACAACCCAATTTAAAAATGAGCAGCAGACCTGAATAGATATTTCTCCAAAGAAGATACTACATAAAGGTGGCCAACAGACATATGAAAAGATGCTTACTATCATAATCATCAGGGAAATGCAAATTAAAACCACAGTGAAATATCACCTCACACCTTAGGAGATTAAGCTCCTAGCAAGTGTTTGATTTGTCCTCAACAAAACACGGCTTCAGCGTGTTCTTTGGTCTCAGATGTTAGAAGATGGGGGTGGGTGGGGAGTTCTGTAGGCTATAATCAATAAATCAACAAATAAGTGCCGGTGAGAATGCAGAGAAAAAGAACCCTCATACATTGTTGGTAGGATTATAAATTAGTACAAACACTATGAAAAACAGTATGAAGTTTCCTAAAAAAATTAAAAATAGAGCTGCCATAAAATCCCGCAATTCCATTTCTGGGGGTTTATCTGAAGGAAACAAAAACACTAATTTGAAAAGATATATGCACCCCTATGTTCATTGCAGAATTACTAGTTATAGCCAAGATATGAAAGTAACCTAGATTTCTATCAATAGATGGATAAATAAAGAAGATGTGGTACAATGAGATATTATTCAACAATAAAAAAAGAATAAAATGTTGTCATTTGTGGCAATATGGATGAACCTAGAGGGTATTTTGCTAAGTTAAATAAATCAGGCAGAGAAAGACAAATACCGTATGATTTTACTTGTATGTGGAATCTAAAACAAAACAAAACAGAAACGGACCCATAGATATAGAGAACAAACTGATGGTTGCCAAAGCTGAGGGGAGTGGGGGGATAGGAGAGAAATAAAATAACTCAGACATTTTTAAAAAGAAGCAATACAATAATCACATTAATAACAAGACTTTTTAACAATGGGTGGAAGACAACAATGGAATGATATCTTACAATGATGAGAGGAAATAGTTTTGAATAAGGATTCGAAAACCCAGCCAACTTCATTAAAATATGAGGGTTTTAAAAACTGAAGTATTTTTAGATATAATATCCCCAAACTGGAAACAACCTAAGCATCTATCAACAAGTTAATGGAGACACAAAATTGTGGTATATTCAGTCAAAGGAATACTACCCAACAGTAAAAAGTAACAATGTCCTGATACACATAACAACAGGGATGAGTCCAATGACATATGCTGAGGGCAAGCAACTTGACACAAAAGATCACATACTGCATGGTTTATATGAAATTCTAGAAAAAAAAACCCTAACCTAATCTACGGTGATATAAATGGATCAGTGATTTGGAGGGTATGAGGAGAGAAGGTGGGGATAGGAAAGGTCACAAGGGACATTTCTTGGGGAGGTAGGATGGAAATGTTCTATAGGTGAGATGGTGGTTGTAAGACATGTCAAAGCTCAAACTCTACAATTGATACCTGTTTCTTTCCACTGTATGTAGGTTATGCTTTAATAAAAAAATGAATACAATTGTTTGATTTTTAAATATATTTTTTATTAATTTCAGAGAGGGAGGGAGAGATAGATAGAAACATCAATGATGAGAGAGAAACTGGATTGGCTGCCTCCTGCACACCTCCCCCCTCCACCGGGGAGCAAGCCCGCAACCCAGGCATGTGTTCTGACCTGGAATTGAACCGTGACCTCCTGGTTCACAGGTTGACGCTCAACCACTGAGCTATGGCCGGCTGGGCTGAATACAATTGTTTTTTAATTCACGTATTTATTCATGATTGTTTATACAAAAAAGATTTAGTTATCACTCAAACTAAAATCCCATATTATTCCCACTTGAGAAGTTAGCTGATCGACATGAAGTATACCTGTGCTAAAGAGGCTGTAATTAGCGATCGACTAGATGTTTGTAAGAAATATAAGCATCAATATTACCTTAAAAACCTAAGAGGGACCCCTCGAGCAGTGGTTCTCAAACGTTAGCAAATGTCAGATTCCTCTGGGGGGGCTTATGAAAACACACATTGTTGGGCACCACCCTTGAATTTCTGATTTAACGGGACTGGGCTAGGGCCCAAGAATTTACATTTCTAATAGGTTCCCAGGTGGTGCTGCTGCTGCGGGGTCAGGACCATAATTTGAGGACTACTATTAGAGAGCAATGGAAATAGAAGAGAGACCACTGGAGAGAGAAAAATAGAATCTTAAAAAAAGTTTTGGGTTGTCCACAGCAAGTTTTGAATCCAGGTTTCACTACTTCCTAGCAGTGGGAGCCCCGGACACTTACCTTCCTGGAGTGTCTGGCTCATTCTTTGAGTCTCAGGGTCATTGTAAGAATTAAAGGCGATAAACATAAAGCTCTTAGCAGAGTCCCTGGTACAGAGCATGCCAGTCCCTGGTAAGGATTTTTGGCTGCCAGTGTGATGTGTTTATCCCAAGGTAGTGGCTATGGTATGGGATTGCAGATTAAGCTCCTAGCAAGGGTTTGACTTGTCCTCAACAAAACACAGCTTCAGCGGGTTCTTGGGTCTCATATCTGTGTGTGTGGAAGATGGGGGTTGG